TTCCAGTTAGAAAGTCTGTCACTAAATCCGTTCTGACCCTTGGCAATCCCATGGACTAAATAGCCCACCAGGCTCCTCTGTCCATGGGTTTTTCCAGGAGAGAATACTGAAGGGGGTGTCCAGTTAGACTGAGCCACAAGTTCTTGGGCAAGATATGGAGGGCCAGGATGAAGCAGTAGTCATTCTTCACCTCGCACACACTGTACTGAATAACTTCCCTAGTGGCTCACCTTCTCGGTGGGAATCCGCGCCTGCAACTGCTCCACCTTCCACTGGCTCTTCTTTCAGCTTCTCTTATGCAGGGTCTCCCCTACGCCATCGAGGTCAGGCAAGAACTGACACGGATTTTAATGTGTCCTGGTGGGCTCCGACTTGTTCTTCCCAACTCTACATCCTTGTCGACTGCCTGTCCTGTGCACTTCAACTTGCAGCCTCAGCCCAGAAAACTTAGATATCTTTGCCACTCCCTACAGCTGTGTAAGGTCAAGTCCCCTTGACAGATTTCCTTTATCATGTCAACCATTATGTAAATTAAGAACATTTTCATAAAGTTATTTTGAGAGCCTATTAGTATTTCTGTTGAGAAGGAAAATTAAGTATTTAAGGAAGAACCCTATAAATAATCTAATTTCAGTCCCTCATTTAAAGATGTAGAAAAATGAAATGCAGACAAGAAAGAGGCTGTTAACATTTTGAACGTGGCTTTTCTACAGCTTATAGCTTGCCTCCCAAACTCCTCTGAATGTGCTCTTTCTTTCCCAAAGAGTACTGAAAAATAACAGTGCTTGGGCTGCCTCTGCCAGACCAGCATTTCCTCAACAAATAATTTTTGGCTGCAATCTCTCTTCACTATCATTGTGTACTTACCACTGTTACAACTGAATGAGAAACACAAACCCTGTTCAAAGGTTCTCGGTAGAGTGAGTGACACCAAAGGCAGGCCCTTCAGCCTGTGTGAACTGGACATTCTTACAAAAACAGATGATTCCTTCTCTGGTATAAAATCAGTCCACACAGAATAGTTTCGAAAACTACTTGGAACTTGCAAATGTGGCTTCATTTCAGGAATAGCAGATTTCTGTACCACACAGATGAAAAGATGACTCATGAGCTAGAGCATATAGTGTGGGCAGGGGCCAGATGGGGAAGAGGCAAAAATGCAAAACACCAGGCTGCCGTGGTGTCTTACTGTACACAGTATCAAAGTGAGACCGCAGTTGACTTAGTTTTGTGATCACAGGACTCCACTGGCAGATTTTTTTTCTTTTTTTTTTCACTGGCAGATTTGTAACTGCTAATTATAAGAGGTGAAATGTTAATAATGCTGAAAATCATTCTGGTACAGTACTTCTAGGTTTGCATGATAGTTGTCAAGTTTCTAGTTCGTTCACTCCTGGAGCTGCTGACAGGCTTACTGAGGACAGACACTTCACGGAGAATAGCAGATGCTTTTCTTCGCTCAAGGGATTGGCTCAGCACCATAGGAAGACAGAGCTGCTTAAGTTGCAGCCCTTGCTCTCACTATACCTTTATATCAACATAGAATATAATCAGTTAAAGAACAGACATGGAAGAGGAAAGGTCCCCTGAGAGAGCATTTGGACTGAGCCTTGATGCACCAGAGGGTTTCCCTGGTGGCTCAGACAGTAAAGAATCTGCCTGCAACGCGGGAGGCCCAGGTTTGCTCCCTGGGTCAGGAAGATCCCCTGGAGAAGGACACGTCAAGAAGCATCCTCCCAGATACCAGAATCCTCAAGCTTCTAAATGAAAGCAGAGCGTTAACTTAAAGCTACAATAAAACTCAGCAACGAAAAAAATAGAACTTAAGCTGTGGCTTCTAGAAGGCACTCAGATCCTCTTACCACAGAAAAATACAGCAACAAAATAGAGAACTAGCTGATAACCAAACACTTTTCTTTTCCTTAAGCTGGACATGGATGACATCTAAGAGGATAAGTTTTATCCTTTTTATCATTTTCCTGGATTAATGTTTTATGAACAATTTTCATCTCATCTAGCGTTTACTCTGGAGAAGGCAATGGCACCCCACTCCAGTACTCTTCCCTGGAAAATCCCATGGACGGAGGAGCCTGGTGGGCTGCAGTCCATGGGGTCGCTAAGAGTCAGACACGACTGAGTGACTTCACTTTCACTTTACACTTTCATGCACTGGAGAAGGAAATGGCAACCCACTCCAGTGTTCTTGCCCGGAGAATCCCAGGGACGGCGGAGCCTGATGGGCTGCTGTCTGTGGGGTCGCACAGAGTCGGACACGACTGAAGCGACTTAGCAGCAGCAGCAACAGCGTTTACTCACTGGGGAACAGTTTGAAATAGCAGAAAGGGCCATGACTACTTGGTTTCAGAATCCACACTGCAACTTACCAAGCACTGGGACCCTGTGGAAAACATTCTGCCTCTCTGAACTCAGAGACAATAATAAGATCAGATTAATGTGAAAATAACCTATTTATAATCTATAGATCAGGACTATGAAAGATATCCTGCTGCAGACTGACTCCTTCAAGCCTTGTCCATGAATATTTTTAGGTTGTAAGGAGTTTGGGGGCTGAAGAACAACAGAATAACCTTTAATGAGATGATTCCTTAAGGGTCCCTAAAAATAAACAATGCCATACAATTTAAAATCAGCACCAGGCTTCCCTGGTGGTCCAGTGGATAAGAATCTGGCTGCTAGTACAGAGTACACGGGTTCAACCCCTGGTCTGGGAAGATTTCACACTCCACAAAGCCCAGGTGCCACAGCTACTGAAGCCTGTGTTCCTGGAGTCCGGGCTCCACAACAAGGGAAGCCTGAGCACCAAACTATAAAGAGTAGCCCCCGCTTGCTGAAAAAAAGAGAAAGCCCGTGTGTAGCAACAAGGACCCAGCACAGCCAAAATATATAAATAGAATTTTTAAAAATAAAAAAGCAAATGCTTTTAGAAAAACCAGCACCAACTAGAGATTATCATCTCAAGAGGTGCAAATCAGACTATGACTAACCAGAAAAAGACCCCACAGTGGGACTTCAGTTTTGCCAAGTACTCTAGTAAGTACTTAATCCCTGTACTTCAGTCTCCTCCTCTTTGAAGCAAATAAAAGATACTTTACTACTTTGGAGATTGTGGAAGATAATATACGAGGATGTCTTTTGAGCTTAACAGATTTCAAAATGCAAAACAAAGGTGTTATAGGGGCTTAGTCTCATAAAAATTAGAACTCCTCTAATTTCAGAAATGGGAGAGGTAATCCTCCATGGCCAAATGGAGGACACTAGTAAAGTTAACTTACCACAGAGGAAAGGCCTGGCCTCTCTCTGTATGTCCTCTACGGGGCTGCACATTGGTCAATATTCTGATGCAGAGAACGGGTTAGACAATGTGCTAGACAATTTAAATAAAACAATTACAGCATGGCAGGTGATTCATGGAATTACTAAGGTGGTTAAACAAAAAACCTGTAGGATGCAATTCCAGAATCTCTTCTCAAGCCGATACTGCAGAACCAGGCTGCCAGAGGAGCTGCTCCTACCAAATCAGGAAGGTAGGTGCTTATGAAACCAGGAGGCACCCTGTATTACGTACATCACCCTGAGCCGCTAAATCAGCTACTGCTACTGGTTCTGAACAGCTTAACTGTGCTCCATTCAAGAAACCTTGTGCAAAACCAGGAAGCTGCCACTCTAGCTTCAGAGGCCCACATCATGCCAGCTTGATACTTTACTACTTTGGAGATTGTGGAAGATAATATACGAGGATGTCTTTTGAGCTTAACAGATTTCAAAATGCAAAACAAAGGTGTTATAGGGACTTAGTCTCATAAAAATTAGAACTCCTCTAATTTCAGAAATGGGAGAGGTAATCTTCCATGGCCAAATGGAGGACACTAGTAAAGTTAACTTAGCACAGAGGAAAGGCCTGGCCTCTCTCTGTACGTCCTCTACGGGGCTGCACATTGGTCAATATTCTGATGCAGAGAACGGGTTAGACAATGTGCTAGACAATTTAAATAAAACAATTACAGCATGCCAGGTGGTTTATGGAATTACTAAGGTGGTTAAACAAAAAACCTGTAGGATGCAATTCCAGAATCTCTTCTCAAGCCTATACTGCAGAACCAGACTGCCAGAGGAGCTGCTCCTACCAAATCAGGAAGGTAGGTGCTTATGAAACCAGGAGGCACCCTGCATTACGTACATCACCCTGAGCCGCTAAATCAGCTACTGCTACTGGTTCTGAACAGCTTAACTGTGCTGCATTCAAGAAACCTTGTGCAAAACCAGGAAGCTGCCACTCTAGCTTCAGAGGCCCACATCATGCCAGCTCTTCTACTGTCCAGAATCCATTTCTGCTCAATGGGCAAGCCTCAGAGACAGAGAACCTCTGCTGCAACCCACACTGGCCGAATGCTTGCCCAGCATCCCACCTATCTCAGTTCAATTCCAAGCATCATGTGACTGCATCTGAAATGGAAGCTGAATCAAACCTCGATCACCAGCTGAAAACGAACTGGAAAAATCCGTTTTAGTTTCCTGCTCTTCACAGGAAAAGGAAGTCATACTCGAAGAAAACTGGAATAGATAATTCTGAGCCAGACCTCCATGACTGCCTTAGAATTCACTCACTTCTCCACATTCAGCTCTGAAAATTCCAAATTTTGTTTTGTTATACAGAGAATTTGATCCATCTTTGGACCCAACATTCCTATTGTAAATAAGTTCTTAATAAATCCATATTTGGGACTTCCCTGGTGGTCCAGTGGTTAAGAATCCGCCTTCCAGTTCAGGGGACATGGGTTTGATCCCTGGTTGGGGGATTAAGGATCCCACTTGCTATGAGGCAACTCAAGCCTGTGCACCACAACTACTGAGCCCAGGCACAACAGCTAGAGAGCCCACGTGCCACAGCAAAGAGCCCATGTGCCACAAATAATACCCTAGAATTGAAAGATAAATATATTCAATACATTGATGGGAGGTTTTACAAAAGGTGCACAAAATGAATATCCAGTTTTTGTTTATCTCCACACAATACAAATGGTTCTATGCAGTCCTGATGTGATTTTTACAGTCAACACAAAGTGCAACACCTTTACGTTTTAATGGAAAAGGAGATGATGATTTTTAATTACAAATTCAATTACAATTTCAAGAAAAGATATATCTATACACTGACTTTACATACATACAGAAAAACTGGACTTTGAAGCCCTAATGTTTCAAAAGTGTTCATTTCCCTCCATACAAACCAGTATTACTCAGCAACAGTACAACTGATTTTAAAAAAATAGAATACACTTCTAAGATACAGTGCTTTGTCTTTTCATTGGTAAAACTCACCAAGGTTGTTTTTGCTCTCAGCACCCTGGGTTCACCAGGATGTGATCCAAAGCAAACCAGCCTCGAAGTTTAAGGAAACCTTTTCTAGGAACCTGGTTCCCTGTCTCTCCCCTCCTATGAAGAAGCTGTCCCCACCCGCATGATTCGGAACAGCATGTTGATGTTGTTGCTTCGAATGGCGTCCCGACAAGCAGTGATCACCTGGTTCTTTGGTTTGCCAACTGTCAGGGAAGAAACATCAGATCCACATGAGCGAAAAAATTATTAAAGCGAAATTATAAATCAGAAGCCATCTTTAGAAACAACATAAAACTAGAGTAGGGAAGAGTTAGAGATAATACAAATTTAAAAAAAAATTTTTTTTCGATTGTCTATTTTTGGCCACACTGGGTCTTGCTGCTGCACTCTGGCTTTTCGAGCGGTGAGGAGTGGGCTGCTCTCCAGCTGCTGTGCGTGGGATTCTCGTTGCAGCGGCTCCTGCTGCGCTCGGGCTCAGGAGTGGCGGTGCACGGGCTTAGTTGTTCCACGGCCTGTTCAATCTTCCCTGACCAGGGATGGAACCCACGTACCCCACACTGGCAGGTGGATCTCAACCACTGGACCACCAGGGAAGTCCTAGATAGTACAAATTTATCTTATCTTACCATTCCCTAAAAAAGATATTCTCATGAGGAACTTTAATCACAAACCAAGCTGAGAGACCATTGTACACCTAGAAACTTCAGAGTCAGTTTTACAGAAAAGGATCCAAGCTTATATCCACTTAGCAAAGATTATTTCTAAAAGGAGGTCAAAGCACTGACTCAAAACAGCAGATTCCAGTGGAAGTATTTGAGTATTTAAGGCTTTCCTCTTGGGAATATGTCTCTCAGTTTATCTTTAGAGGATGCAGCAGGCTCGGGAAGATCTCACATGCCTTGGACAACTCAGCCCGTGCACCACAACTCCTGAGCCTGTGCTCTAGAGCCCGTGAGCTGCAACTACTGGAGTCCTTGTTCCTAGGACCACTGCTGGCTCCTGCTCGCCACAACTGAAGAAGGCCCAAGCACAGCAACGAAGACCCTACATAGCCAAAAATAAACAAGTCTTTAAAAAAAAACAAAAGGAACTGAAAGTCTTTCCCCTCTGAAGTTGGCAGACTAACTAAAGCAGACTAACTAAAGCCTACTAAGTAGGCTGGCTAAACTCAAGTGAATGGTACCAACTTGAATGTGAAAGGTATCTTTATAGATACAAGCCCTGATAGGAATTCTTGAAGCTATCACCATCTTTAATGCTTCTCACCCCAAAATTAAAGACGAAATGCAGTGCTACCAAAAGGGACTTACCACGCAGACGACCTGCTCTTTGAATGGCTTGATTTACTGCTTTGAGGCTTCCCAACAGTTCTGTGTGATTGTTACAGCGAATTTTATATCCATTGAGCAAGTCTTTATTAAGGTCATAGAGTTCCATATAGCAATTCTTCATTGTTTTCCTGTGTACATCAATAGAAGGTTAACATCACTGGACCTCAGTACGGCAGGCTTAAATGAAGACTTGCAAACTTCCTAGACACATTTAATAAATGATCAAACAAGATTTTTAGCTATACTGTCATTAAAACAGGGTAACTTCTAAAGTTTGCTTTGAAAACATTGAGAATATTCTATGAACTATTCTGTTTCTTCCAAATAAATGGAAGACAAGTGGCCTTCCTTGGTTATTAATCCATGGTTTGTTTGAATTTAGGAACCAAGAATTATCGTGCCCATGATATAAGGGGTGGGGACAAGTGAGCAAGGTGACAGGCTATATTCCCAAGCTTCAGATTAATACTGACAGTTTCTTATCAAGCTAAATATACACTTACTGTACAACCCAGCAATCACATTATGACACATTTCACCCAGAAGACTGGAAACATGTCTGCAAAAAACCTGTATGCAAATATTTATAGCAGCTTTATTCTCAATCACCAAAGTCTGGAAACAACCCAAATCTCAATTAATTGGTAGGATATTGACCAAGTATGGATATCAATACAATAGAATATTCAGCAATAAAATGGAATGGACTACTGGTAACTTACAACGATGTGAATGAATCTCAACGGCATTATGGTACCTGAAAGAAGTCAGACTCAAAAGGCTGATTCCACTTATATGGATTCCATTTATACTGTCTGATTCCATTTATGTGACAGTTTGGGAAAGATAAAACAATTGGAAGAGAAACTCGATCATTGGCTGCCATGGACTAGAGGTTAGGAGAAGTGCTTGACTGAGGTAGTAGCAACACAATTGTATAAATTTCCCCGAATTTATTGAAGTGTAAACCTAAAAGGGTAAATTT